ACTGCTTTCTTGGTGGTATGAGGTTCCCATGTGTCTCTGCTCACTTCTCTCTTTTATATCTCAAAAGAGATTGGCTTAAGACACTATCCAATCTTGTAAACCTCATCAGTATAACTGCTGCTAATCCATCTTATTATATCATAGTGATTGAATTTATAACACATAAGGAAATTACATCAGATTACAAAATGGTACACAGTTATACAATACCGGGAATCATGACCCAGCCAAGTTGCCAGATATTTTGGGGGACACAATTCAATCCGTGACACACGTTACCATGATTGTCTCCAGAAAGGGATGAATGAGATGAACGGCTCTACTTCATTTGTTGTAGTTCATTCATATCCATGTTCCTTAAAAGAATAAGGATACTGAATTTTAACATACATTATGGTGACAGTTCGAATGAGATTATGGTGAGGAGTGAAGAATAGCTGTAAAACGATGATCGAAATCATCATGATTCATGCATTCAGGGCCACTTTCACCAGAGGGTAACTGTGAGTTATAGGAAAAGATTATTCTAGAAAGAGACCATGAAACAGACCATGCCTGCACATTGAAAGACAGATTTTCATGAGAGGAGAGTAATATGTACCTAGGGCCTGCTCATATGGTAGACATAATGGAAGGCTAATGATGGTCACATTCTCCTTTGAATTGCAATAGCTGTTGTATATCAATGATTAATGAAAAATTAGTCTTATTTTTAGAAACTGAAAAGAGAGCAATTATCAGAAGAGAGAATCAAAGGCACCAAAATGGAGTGCGTATGTGTTGGATTCATATTTAACCACTGGCTTCACATTTTGGTACTGATTTAGTCAGAATGTATCATAGGTCTCATGATATAGTGTTGTTTTGTGCTGTTGAGTTGATTCTGACTCATAGTGACCCTACAGGACAGAGTAGAACTGTCCCTTAATGTTTCCTGGGCTGTAATCTTTATGGGATCAGATCTCCAGCAGAGCTGCTGGGCTGTTTGAATTACTGGCCTTTTGCTTAGCGGCCAGGCACTTAACTGTTGCTCCACCAGGGCTCCTCTCATAGTATAGGTATCACATGTCCTTTAGATTAGTAAAATTTAATCATTTTCATCAAACACTTAATGAATCATGTTCCTTCTCCCAACATAATCATATTCCACCTCAGTACAGTGCTTCTTACAATGCACTATTAGGCTCTCATGGTTAAATAGCATATATAAAACTTTCTTTCCTTCATGGAAATAAACAATATACAACTGTGGGATTATATACTCATAATTTTCACTTTAGGTATTCTCTCTGCTCTCTGCTCCTGGATATTTATATGGCTATAATAAAAATACCAATACAGTGCAATTACACCATCTGATTTCTAAATCCTCTCTAGCTATTTATGGATTTGCAGTGTCTGATTATAAGTCCCAATACCCTTGATGATGGTGTGTTAACCTTTTTATATATTGTTGGATTCCATATGCTAATGCTTTTGGTTGTTTTTGCATTTTTCATCAATAGAACACTGTGTTGCTTACTGTTATGAATTGAATTATGTCCCCCAGAAATATGTGTTGTAAAACCTAACCTCTATGCCTATGGTTATAATCCCATTTGGAAATGTGTTATCTTTGTTAATGAGGCAGGATTAGTGTAGGGTGTATCATGAGTCAGTCTCTTATTGAGATATAATAAGAGATTAAACAATCGAGCAGAGAGAAAGATGGGGTAAGACAGATGCCAAGACACATAGAGATCTCTGAGGAACCAGGACGCAGAAGCTGAAGAGAGAAGGATCATCCTCCAGAGCTGACAGAGACAGGCTTCCACTTAAACCATCACTCTGAATTCGAACTTCTAGCCTCCTAAACTGTGAGAAAATAAATTTGTTTGTCAAAGCCATCCACTTGTGGTATTTCTGTTACAGCTGCACTGATAACTAAGATACTTACTGTAGCTTTATAGAAAGTGTTGAAGTCTGTGCATGTTTCTTCAGTGTTGTGTTAACTATTCTGGGTCTTTTGTCCTTACATATATCACATGAAGGGTATTGGTCTATAGTTTTCCTGTCTTGTAACGCCTTTTTGGTATTAGGGCAATGCTGGCCTTATCAAATAGTTTAGGGAATGTTTCCACTGCTTCTGTATTTCCGAAGAGATAGTAGATAATTAGTTTCATTTATTTTTTAAATGTTGTTAGAGTTCACCAGTGAAATTGCTGGGCCTAGAGCTTTCTTCTTTGGCAGGTTATTACTGACTGAATATACAAGTATTCCCCTCTTTTTGAAAGTTCCCTTTATGCAATTTCGTTTTTATGAGAGGCCTATATTAGTACCTATTTTCACTAACTAAAAGAAATCTGAAGAGGATTTTCCCTTTCACAAAAAAAGCAAAGAGCAGAAATAGTATCCAGCATTTGTTTTGCAACGAGCCATTAAAGAGGCAGCGCGTGCCCAGAGCAGTGAGAGTGTCGTCGCCAAGCTCCTTCCCCAGAAACTACACTCAGCATCGTATCATATCTTTCCTGCTTTTACTATATGGTAGTGTTGTTTTAGGTTTTATGTGCTATTTGATAGGTTATTTTTTGGGTCTGGAAATGCTTAAAAGTTTTTCTCATGCACATTAATGGTAATTTCTTCTTTCAATTATATGAAAGGTTTCATAGGAACTCACTACTATTGGATAGTTGGGAAACCTGTATTTAGTAGTTATAGGCCTATTCAGATAATGTATTTATCCTTGAGTGAAGTCTGGTAGCTGGTGTCTTTCAAGGTATTCATCAGATTCATCTAAGTTGTCAGATTCATGGTCATGGGGTTGTTCATTGTACCTGTTTATCATCATTTTGGTGTCCATTGGATCATTCCTTGAGTTTTCTTTTTTGTTAGCCAGATGGAGTTTGACAATTCTATAGATCTTTTCAATGAAGCAGCTTTTTGTTTTGTTGATTTTTCTGGTTTTTTTTTTTTTCCAATTTCACGGGCATCTGCTTATTTTTTTCTTCTATATGTATTTAGTGCTATAGATTCCCCTCTTAGTACTGCTTTTCCTACACACAAGTTTTGGTAAGTCATATTTTTATTTTCACTTGGTTCAAAGTATTTTTAATTCCTCTTGAGGTTTCTTCTTTGACCTATGTGTTAGTTAGAAGTATGTTGCATAATTTACAAATATTTTTTTAATTTTTTCCATCTATTTTTTATTGATTTCCAGTTTATTTCTATTGTGGTCTGAGAATATACGGCATATGATTTCTATTCTTTTAATTTTCTTCAGGTGTTTTATGGCCTAGAATGTGGTCTACGTTGGTGAATTGAATGTTTCATATGAGTTTGAGAAGAATGTTTTTTCTGCTGTAGTTGGATGGAATATTGTATAAATGTCAATTAAATCAAGTCGATTGATGGTGCTGTTCTGATCAGTTCTATCCATACTGCTATTCTGCCTGCTGCATGTATTAATTCCTGACAGAGGATTGTTGCAGTCTGTAATGTGGCGGCATCATAAGCCATCTAACTTCAGGTGGAGGAAGGAGAGTCACCATCAACACAAAGCTTGTTCCTGTCAGGTGGAGGTCAGCCATACCTCCACACGCCAACCTTCTTACCAATTCTGACACTAGCCATCCCTCCCCACAGCACTCTCTACTTCTCTGCTGAGTTCGATAATTCGCCATAATGGCCACACAGAACTTACAGACCATACTCATAGTTATGGGATTTATTAGGGAAGTAACAGGTTACAACTCAGGATTAGGATCAACTTGAAAGCAACAAGAACACCTCAAGAGACAGGCTACAGTTTGTCAATTAGGATAGCCTCCAACCAGTATAGCTTTCAGCTTCTTGTCTGCATTGCCCGTAGCCAGGCCTTACTCGGGTCTACTGCTGCCAGCCCTAATTACTTCTGCACTCTACCCTGCTTGAAAAGTGTTATAGCTCTTTAGATTCTCCACCCTCACTCTGTGGGCCAGGAAGCCCAGCACAGCCATATGCGCTGGTCTCCTGGTTCTCCC